GAGAGAGGGAGAGGGAGAGAGAGAGAGAAGAACAAATAGCAGAGAGGCAGGTAGGGCGTCGACGACTACCACGACGACGACGACGGCGACGTAGGTCGGTTCGCGGCGCATGGTCCCCGGCATCGTCACGGACCTCGTCATCGTGACGCGTCCTCCTCTTGGTGGATGTCGCGCCGGTTAGTCGTAACTCTCGTGGTGGACGTCCTCGTGAGCGTGCAATGCGGGCCGTAGGCAGGGAGGAGGGTAGGCAGGGGGGTATAGGAGGGCACGGAGGGCACACGGAACGGAGGAACGAGGTGGGGACCCGGCGAGAGGTCGGGAAGAGAGGCACCAATATCGAACCGGCGGCCGTGGTGCGCGGCCGGAGTGCATTCCGTGAGCGGTAGACGCGTATCGCACATCTAGACAGTCGTCGCGAACAGGCCGATATGAGCGTGCGTGTATCGTTCGTACGTGGTAACTAGACTGGGTACGTAACGATCGAGTTTAACGCACAACGCGTATCCGTGTGTGTCTGTGAGGAGAAATCGTGAGGGAGTCGCGCGTGGTGGCCACGGGGGCCGCGATAGGAGGAGGAGGAGGAAGAAAGAAGTGTCGTTGTTTAACGTTTTTTTCGGTTTTGTCGGCGAGACGACGAGAAAGAGAAACGCAGCGGTTGCTGCCGATGTACATGGTGGTGGTTGTAGCAGGGTGTGGTGTACGGAGAACAGGTGTCCACGAGCGCAGCTCGACCGTGAAACGAGGAGAAGCCGGAAACGTAGTACGGAGCCGGTGCGAGTACGACAGAATGAATTTTCGGGCTGGCTAGCCCGGAGCGAAGACTCGCGCGAGCAACATCAGCGAGGGACGGCACGAGGTGAAACGCGGCAGCTGCGAGCTGGCGGCGAATCATGTCGGAGACACCACCGAAGAGCGCGAGTCCTGCCGGCAGCCGGGCCAGCCCTGGCAGCCCGAGCACGCCACGTGGAGGTCGACTCCGGGATAGAGTCAACTTTTTCGTGGAATTGTTCGAGGACAAGGAGGCAAGGCGGAATGCGGGTCAGTACAGATCGCCCACGAATCCTAGACCCGGTTCCAGGCCATCGTCTCGGCCGTCGTCCAGAGCTAGCGACTCGTCGTTCGAGGAGAGCTTCGAACGGTTGGTGGAGGAGGGCGAATTGAACGGTTCGAAGGTGGTGAAGTTCGAGAAGATCACGGTGCGGAAGAGCGTGAGAGAGATCGGGACCGGTGGCGTGTCGACCCGTGCTTCTCTCGCCGAATCGAGCAGGACGCCTAGCGAGGAACACGCCCTCGAGGACTCGGCCTACCAGAGTCACAGCCACGGTGCACCGAATTACGGGAGTAAGTCGAGCTCTGTCACGTCGTTCACGAGATTTCCATCGGAGGAGAGTTTGTCGCATAGGAGGGGCAGTAGCCCTCACCAGCATCTGGGTTTGGACGATCGAACGCCGTCCGAGTGGTACGCGGAATATCGCACCCAGAGCTTCCACAACGTCGCCACCAGGATCGAATATGTGCGCAGTAAGAGCGAGTACGATGCACATATCGCTGAGATTAAAGGTATTGTTTGTTTCCTCGATTTCTATTCTTCGTTCAACGTGATCTCGATTTAGGTGCAGAGGATAGCTCAGTGCACCTCAGGGTGTATTTGATTTTGCGATGCGATGCAATGTTGATTGTCGATATTTTTTAAACGAATTCCTTTAGGAAGATTTTAATGAGACTAGTAATTAAGGATATAAGGATATATTTTAAAATTTTTTTATCTTTCTAATAGAAAATTAATAAACGGAGTTGTTAAATTCTCTTTGATATTGATTTGCGTTCTAAGAGAATTTTATATTCATGAAATGGAATTATCGGAAATTGATCGATGTTGAGAGAAAATACCTACCATGCAAAGAAAATATTCTATTTAATACAAGTCAAAGAACATTTTTATTTTAAAATTTCTTTGCAAGTAAAAAATTTTATAAATTACTAAAGCAATTGAAAGAGGCGTCTAATGGATTTATGAAGTATACTTTATAATGAAATAGGCAATTTACAAGATCGTAGAATAATGATCGCTTATTTAATGATAAATGAAAATAAATTTTATATAACCTCGTGAATCATTTTTTCATTAGGAATTGTCATTGCGATTAATCGTTAATTCCTTTCACGCTATCTTTCCAAGTTTTCTCTAGATAGATAGCATTCACGACTCGTTCTGATCCAATGGAAAAATAATTTCCACTCCCTTTCACGAACTCCACGAACCTCTGTCGCGACTAGAAAGATCCCTGACTTTGTTTATGTACTGTAAATACCGGTCAATACCAGGCAAGATATATGTAACAGTAACAATAAGAGCATTTGTAAAATTCATCGTGAGAAGAAAATATCATCATTTTGCGATTTTTAAATTGTATACAGATATTATGTAATTATGGATGGCTTATTATTTATTCTATTCTATTTCTCGATAAATTATCCTTTGTTATTGTCACAATTACTTCTCAACGAAATTTAAATATTCGAATAAGATTTATTTACACTTAAACAAGTTTCATCGTTATTCCTATAGTTAGACGCGACGGCTAATGTCCTCCGGCGATGATGATCGATCACTCGTTGGGGAAATTATAAAATTACGCGGTGACCTAGATCCACAATGGCGATTCATTACTCATCCATCTGAAAGAACCAACGCGACACGTCTAGATCCTGTTTGCTCTTTCTCATATTGACAAATCGTCTACGAAGCGTGCGCCACGAAATCGATTAATTCCCCTAGTCGACCAAATCTTTGTCATCGAGACACGTCGTTGAATATGCAAAGGACCAATCTAATCCAATCCTGATTTAAATCTTTGTCTCCAAAATACGTGTTTGAATATGTATACGACCAATCCATGTCTGATCCGTGTCTAATCCGTGACTAATTCTAACCTGAGTCAAGTTTAGATACATCTCTGAGTGTACGAGCAATTCTCATTCTTGTCCAATGCTAATTCAAATCAAATCTTGATCACGAAACTAGATTAACTCAAATCTTCGTTATCGAAAGATACATTTCTTGATATATTTTTTAACAGCTTTTTTTAAACGCGAAAATTTCATTCATGGTTCGCGTTCTGTAGTTAGCCACCTATACAATATCACTAAAATTTAACCAATCAACAAAATACATAGATCCAATTCCAATCGTTCAATTCTATTTTATTTCTACTTTTTCCTATCCTCAAACGAGGATAGGAAGTAGTAGTAGTAGTAGTCTCAAAGCTTCTTTCAGGAGTAACGAAGCAATGTGGACGAAGAACCCGGTTTCCTCTGCGATCAATAGTTATTCGCCGCTTGTTAAGTACCGTATTAGCAATTCCCTCATGGGGACCTCGTGGAACTTTTCTCAAGAGCGACACGCGTTCGCGAGCAACCGGATCAACGCCTACGAAACCGCAGAAAACGTGGAATGAAGATGCTTTCGAACAACTCGTTGTAACGAGAACGTGAAATAATCCACCAGAATTTGAATAAGGGAAGAAAATCATTAGATTTGTTTCAAATCTGAAACAAACGAATCCAAGAATTTGTAAGAAACGAACATAGCCGAAATAAATCATTTAAACATCGATGACACATTGAATAATGCCATCTTTTTCGTGGATTAATAACTTTAATTTAAAAAAAATTGATAATCATTATATATTACAAACCGAAAAATTGATTGTCAATGTAGCATTCATGGCCATTATCTCTGGTATATCGAAATATTTATTTGCCATGATCAAAAATGCGCTGATTAGAATATAGGGTGTCTCTTTACATAGTTATCTACGTAGTATTACGTTATAAAATTTCACGTATTTAGCGAATTTAGCCGAATGTTTGGTGTAGTATGCTCAATTATCCAAAGTGTCCAATTATAATTGCTTCGTAATTAGATTTTAAATTTTGTTATACGAAAAAATTTTTTTTAAATTCTTTCTTTTCTTTTAAGAAAGATCTTTTGTGTTATAAATATTGGTCTTGTATGGGTTAACGTGTTTTTGAGATTATGAGATAATCTTTGTTTTTGCTTGTAATATATGTATGTTTTAGTTTATCAGCTTAAATTATCGTAAACCAATTCTAGAGACTTTTGCTCTACGAACAAGTTTTATATATAAATATAAATTGATAATATAATTTTATGTCGAGTAAAGTACTTGGTTTGTGATTTATAATTTATATTTAATTTTACATGTTTATATTTGTTAAATTTCTTGTATAAAAGAATTTATTAACGATGATAAATTGTAAATTGGTCATTTTCAATAATAATATTAGTTCAATTGTATGCGTACGCGTACGTAACGAAGAAGACTTTGAATGATAAATGACCTTGAATGGTCTTTGAAGACCAATATATCATAGGTCAATGGATTTATCTTTCAATAACTTACACGTATTAAATAAAAATACATATGTAGTTCTATTCAAAGAACGAGAAATCATAATAATATCAAAAATAATGTAGTTCCACAACAAATTATTTTTGATATTCTGAAAAAATTAAAATAAATCTTTAATTTTCTACATAATTCATCAAATATTGCGTTAAATTTATTAGTTTTTATTTTCAAGATAATCATCGGAATTAAAATTTCGTAAATTAAAGTCGAGCAGACAGCTATGAAACTTGTAAAAAAGCAATTATTGGCTTTGAAAGAAAAAAAGAAAAAACTGGAGCAAAGTTGTCAGTAAAGTTTGAAAACGTGTTTCGACTGGATAAATGAGAAATTCGTAGACGTTTAAAACGAAAATATTTCAAATTTGACGAGCTTACATTTTGGCAACGATGAACGTTGATCGCAGAATAGCCTCGATCGTCATTGGTCGATCGAAGAACAGGGGCAACGAACCATTGATCTAGTATCCACGAATAAATAAAACGAAGCTTGTTAGGTCAAGATAACGAGTAGAGGCTTGTAAACGGGGCACATTCAATAGCTATTCGATACCGAAACCGCAAACGTCTTACCATTTTTTAATATCCAGCTTCCAGACGGTGGCTCTCAAATCTCACCTTGATACTTTCTCTGGAGTTTGGTTTCTACTTTCGAATCGTGAGGTCAATGTTTGGTGGTTACCTATTAATTTTTCTTAATTTTTCTTTATCTTTAATTTTCTTTATCTTTATTATTCTTTATTTTTAAATCTTCTTCCTTAATTTTTTTTTAAAAGACTACTTCTAAAAATATTAATTAATTATTGTACAAATATAAAATGTTGAAAAATTATGTAAGATTCTTATTGAATAATTGGAATTAAAGTCAAAGTTGAAACTAAGTTTTCTTAAGACATTATTGAATAATGTCTAATAATATATATATCATAATTGTGATTTGGATTTTTTAAGGTCAGAGGTTAATGTTTCTGGCTAGGATCGTTTTTATGCCATTTGATGGATTTAATATATTCGTTGTATATAATATAAATTGATGTTGATATTTCGATAGTTGGAATGCAAATTAGAAATTTAAAAAATTGCAGAATTTTGAAAAGTAGTTTACAGTTTATAATTCATATGAATTTTTATTAAATATAAATTTAATAAGCATATATGAAAGTTATATATTGGCATATATAACACCATTGAAGGTAATGAAAATTCGATTCGAACGTATTAAAACAAGGTCTGTTCGTGTTCTGAATATCTTTTTGGTCTTTATATAAAAATTATGGACGAATAATGCAAAAATAACTTTCAAAAATAAAACTTTCAAGGTTTTACCTTCATCGACAGCTTCTAGAACGATTTTCCAATTTTCTCGAAGAAATTCACATGCTTCATCGAACGCACATAAGCATTTATAATTTACAGCAATTGAATTTTTATCAGCACACATATACGTATTGATATATACATACAGATATGTACATATAGGCTAAGGAAATACATTTTTCTCAACCTACTACAAACTCAATCAAGATCCAATATCAACCAATATTAATGAATAGCTAACACTGATCTAATATACAGAAAAAATTCCAAAAGACACATAGATTTAGAACTACGTAAAATTCAAAGAATCAAATATTCAAATATCTTTAAATATATTCCTTATATATATATACACATATATATTATGAAATTCTTTTAATGCAATCCATACATAGTTCGAAATAAATATCCTACATTTCATAACATTTCGAGTATCAACAATTCAACATTATCTGGAAATAATCTTCACAAGTTACCGGTTCGCACTTAAATCAATAAAACATGAATTACATCGAGCAGAAGCCAATAAAAATTATCGCATTCTTCTTCGAGGCCAATCTTCGTCTCAGAACAAAATCTTTCCCGTTGCGTGAATAAATATCGCCATACTTGATATCCAGCGGGGCGCTGTTCGTTTTAATTGAACTGGCTTGGGCTTGGAGGAAAGGAACCGAATCGTCGGCGGATAGATAACAAGAACAACGATCATGTTAAGAAACGAAACGGAGGCGAGAGAGCGAGGTCAAGGTCTCCTCCGGTTCTCCGGCCCCCCAAGTTAATTAAATCGTTGCGTCACCGCACGATGGTCAAC